TTTGGTCTGTAGGTCTGGCTCACAGCAGGAGCATCCGTCCCTCCCACAGTTGTAAGGTATCTTGTCTTCTGTGTTATCTCCTTTGAGGGTCCAGCCTTGTCTGACTGCATATAATATTTCTATCTAACTCTGGTGCCTACAACAAAACCATGAACCCAATTAAATCTTTCCTCCATTAATCTGCTGTTAAAAGCTGAATAACACAGGTGTGTGAGATGACGTCGGCGTGGCACGTGGGCAATGTGTCATCAGTGAATCCAGCTCTGGTTTCCTTAAATGTCAAGCCCGCTGCTTGGGAGGGCCAGGTGCTGCAAAGTGTTATAACATGGAGCAGCGAAGATGCACACAATAGGGCGTGCTGCATCGTGAGCAGGACCCAGGCCGGTGCGCTGGCTCCCAGCGAAGAACCTATCTTGGGCGGGATGGACTCAGCAGTGCTTCCCAGCTCAGCTGTGTATCGGCCCCACCAAGAAGAGGCGGTCAGTCCTCACTTCATCGCTGAAGGAAGGGCAGAGAACAGGCAGATATCTGCAACATCTGTAGCTCTGAAGATAGAGGCTCTGACCCTGTAGGGTTCTATGGGTCCACGAATGCCATGTGTGGGTTCACAACCAGGGCGACAGGCTGCTGGGTGCTCTGTGTAAGTGATCCTAGTGGGAAAGCAAAGGGGACACCCAGGGCTCTTTGTGCCTCAGCTGCTGATGTCACACACTGTCACGTGCACTCTTCTGCACTCATTAGAGTGCTCTGCCTTTTGAAGGAGGACCCAGAGAATCTGCAAATGTCTTTGAAACCCCAACTGGTCCTGTCTGTGGAGAGAATGAGCTCTGAGGTGCTCAGGACAGTATCCGGCTCACAGCACTGCGCATGTGAGTTAAACGATCACAGACATCACTGCCCACCTGCAGGCGGCCCTCCGCCCACCTTTTCCCCTGGAGAGGAAACCTTAGGGTCAGAGGATCAGCAACCTCCAGGACTGCCGCTGATGTGGGAAGGATCGAGCGGCCCACTCTTTCGTAAACTCACGATACTCTGGACTTAAACGAAATTTGGGGAACACTTGCCTTTTCATGTTATCAATTTTATGATTTCTCACATTCTCACAAGAGGCCTGGGGTGGGATGTGTCATCTCCTTTTGCAGATGAGAAAAGCTGGGGCTCAGGGCTCATCACATAATGTCACATAACCAGTCACATAACGTCACATAACCAATTCATCATTTACAGAAACTGGAATCCTGAGTTCCCCCCGCAGATGTTGCCTGAGTTGGGGAGGCTGTGGGTACAGTGTCTTCCATTAGCCTTGGAAGTTTCGTCTGATGGGAGGATATGAGATTCGGCTCACTGGGATCAGACACTGTCTCTGAATCCCAGAAATAGGCAGATCTTGATCTTTGTAGGAAAGGAGGAAAAATATTTAGGTGAACAGTGGCTATTCTTGCATGGAAAACCTAAAAGTATAGGTTACTTCTTAGGACTTTTATTTCTATTTTTCCAGAAGGGAGCACTGAGGAGGTGGAAATGCCTGCATTGTCTCAAACAGATTAGAAGTGGAGAGAAGGGGGGCCAGGGAGATGGCTCAGTAGAATAAGTGCTTTCCTGGCAAGCACAAGGGCCTGAGTTCAATCCCTGGTTTAAAAAAAAAAAAGTGGAGAGAAGGCTGCAAAAGCAGACTTTCATGCGAGGGTTTGAACTGCATCGAAAGGCTGTAGTTGACAGGAGCAAGGGGGGAGAGGTGATATTTAGAGGAGGACCAGCAGCCAGGCTTAACGACTGACTGAATGTGTAAGGAAAAGAGGGGAGAACTATATGTCCTCAGATTTTGAGCCAAAGGGTGACACACACACCTGTTATGGTTTGTATCTAGTGGTTCCCCCAAAGATTGATGTAAGTTGTGGGGCAGACGCGACTGGAGGAAGCGAGTGGCTTGAGGGGCGGGGCCAGAGGACCAGGGTGGGCCCGAGATGGGGCGGGGCCAGAGGGTAGGGCGGGGCCAGAGGATGGGGCGGGGCCCGAGGATGGGCGGGGCCAGAGGATGGGGCGGGGTCAGAGGATGGGGCGGGGCCAGAGAGACGCGAACGTTAAACTGACTACCCTGTGCTTTCTCAGAGGTGTGGAGAGGGTCGTCCTGGACACGGCAGCACCCCGGCCTCTCCTCCAGTGTCTTGAAACCTCCAGTAACTGTGAGCTAAATAAACCTTTCCTTCCCTCATTTTGAGTGTCAGGTACTTGTCCCAGCAAGGAGAGAAGAATAACAAAGGCAATACCCAAGCCACTACCCCGTTTGCACTTGAGTGGAAAATTCCTGCCGTGCCAGACTGCCCTGGATGTTTGAGGTGCTAATTATCATTTATTTATTTATGTAAAATATGGAATGCTTCACAAACTTGCGTGCTATCCTTGAGCGAGGGCCATGCTCATCTTCTCTGTATCGTTCCAGTTTTAGTATATGCGCTGCCCAAGCGAGCACGAGGATGCTTATGATTGATGCCTTCTGCCCAGCAATACTTCTTAGGACTTCTTACTTCTTAGGACTTTCATTTCTATTTTTGAGTAGCTCTCTGCAGTGGTGGTGACTACAAAATGCCTCTTTGGGCTGAGGAGACCACCAAACGGGGCGGCCAGTCAAAAACGCTCAGTTCAGGATGATGAGATCTCGTGAGCACTGAGTGTCGCGCCAGCAGAATGATGACCCGAGTGTGGAGACGGCTCGAAAGTAGCGGGATGTGTGACGGAGCTCGGGAGCAGGCGGAGGCAGGAGGGTGGCAGCAGGGACGCAGCACTGGGGCTCCAGGCGCAGTTCCAGCAGGGAGCCTAGGGGTCTAGCGAGGGGATGCTGGAGAGAGAACCTGGAGCGCGTGCCTGATGAAGAGCCCCAGGAGCAGAGAGAAAGGAGAAGAGAGTTGGAGCCGCGAGGCCTCAGCCTAAGACAGATGAGGAAGCTCCAGGGAAGGACAATGGTGAGTCCCACGCCACTGAGCTGGCATTTGCACCAAGAAGAAAGAATTTACAATTAGGGGCTAAGGAATTCTTCAGGAATCTAGTCTCTGAATAGCCATGTTTCACGAAGTGCGTAAGCATGCGCCCACTCTGTGTCCGTCCACCCCAAGTATGCACATTATTTTGTACATCCTTCCAGAGTCTTGTAAGGACATAAGCAAACGTAAACACACATTCTTACTTCAACTTGGCTTTTCTTCACTCAAAAATATTCCCTTGGCACCGCTCCCTGCGGGGCACCGCATCACAGCTGTGCATCAGAGCTGGGAGCAAGATTCGCTTTCGTCAGTGCGACTGGCTCGCCCGCCCGTTGTGAGGTTCTGGCGAGACTGACTTCTGCAGGGCTGCCCAGGGGGCTGGAAGTGCAGAGAAGCATTGATTTTGCAGCCTTGAGCACAAAATTTCTAGAGCAGAGCAGTAAGCTGAAAACTCAGACAAAATCTCCATGTTACAGTGATGGAGGGGAATCAGGACTCAGTTCGTTCTTCAGGCCTTCAACTGCTCGGATGAGCCATCCCCTCATCAATTTTAAAGTCAGCTGACTGTGGTTTTGTTTTTTTTTCCCCCTCAGTACTGGGGGTTGAACTCACGACCCTGCGCTTGCCAGGCAAGCACTTATTCTACTGAGCTATCTCCCCAGCCCCTGACTGTCTCTGTTAATCACAAGCACAGGACACCTCACCAGAAGCATCTGGTGTTCCACAGAACAACTGGGTGGCTTGGCCTAGCCATGTTGATACGTACAGCTAACCATCGCCAGATGCACAGCATTTTGTTGTACGTATGGCAAGAATTTATTTAGCCAATCCCATGACAGAAAACATTCAGGTTATTCTCAATCCTTTACTATCACAAACTACTCAGTGTATAACTCTGTACATAGGTATATCACTTTTAAAACATACAGACATATAAGTAAACCCCTAGAAGTGGAGCTGGTAGGTTCTGAATGAGTGAAGCCCATCCTCAATCTCTCTAGAATATCAGTAAGACCTCAGCATATGAAACTGGGAATGGATTTTTAAGTCTGTCAGATATGCGTCCGGGGGGTTCTGTCCACACCAGCAACATGAAGCTAGAGCTTGGTCCACAGCCATGACAATGACTACTGTCAGAGTGAGAAATGTTTCCCTATCTGGTTGCTGAAGATGCTATCTGTGTGGTTTTTATCTAAGAACAGACACAGATGAGGTCTTGGGAGACAGGTAACTTTAAGGCATAGAGCAAGTGGATGGTAAGGAGTACAGAACAGGGATTGAAATCTGGCCACAGTGGAAGAAGAGAATTCGTTCAGAGCCTAATGTAACAGGTGAGCTCTACGAAGATGCTTCTCAGTAGTACAGAACTACTTAGAATAATGACAGGAATCACTAGTGGAGGACTGAAAATTGGGAGGGGTATGACAGCTGAGGCACGAGGCGGAGGACGGGAGTGGTAGCGCTGGTGGGGCTGTTGGATGGGAGCTCAGCTGTGTGGGCGAAAGGTGTGAAGGATGCATGCTTGTGGGTGGGGAACGGATGGCAGAGAAGGGGCTTTTTGAATAAGAATTTTAAAAGGGAAGGCTGTGATTCACCAGTGGGAGGCGGGCACAGGAAGCTGATGCACGTGGGAGCTCCTGTCCCCAGGTCCAGATTCCAGATAAAAGGCAGAAGAACGCTTGGGGGCTGATTCATCTATGTGAATACAGATGCCATAAATGCTGAGCAGCTGCTCTTCTGGGCCTAATGACACCACTCAGCCAAGACACACGGTAGCCTGGAAGGCTGGGAGCCAGACACCAGAACCACTGTGCACATGACAGATGGGGACGAGCGGGAAAGGGAGAGGCGTGAGCGCGCTGTGACAGCCGGCTGGGTTGCTCCTTGGGACCTGGTGTTTCAAGGGAAATGTGGTTTAGAAATCTAGAAATATGCCAGTGTGTTTGAAACTGGAAGATGCCTCCTTGGAGTCTGAGACTCAGGACAGAAGAACCCTGACTTTATCTTGCTGACAAGGGCGTGTGCATGGAGAGAAGGGCCTCTGGGACACAGTGTGGAGGTGGGGTGTTCTTGGAAGAGCTGCAATTTATTAGATCTGGACTAGCTGGGAAGAGGAGTCCAGAAAAAGGAATTACAGTAAGGGCAAAAGTTCACTTCAGGGCACCGGCCAAGGGGGTCTTCAACAGAAGGCAGGAAAGGATTAGTGGCTTCCATTCCAATAGGAATGTGGTACACCTTAAAAAAAAATTACTCCAGAACATTTAAGACAATGAACACAAAATGCAGCAGTAAATTTCTATGCCCCTCAACCTGCACCAGCAGTGCTCAGTGCTTTCCAATCTTATTCAGCAATCTCTGCTCTTACTTTATTCCAGGAGTGCTTTAAAGCCCCAGATAGCCTACCCCTTGATGCATATGTACCTCTTACCTAATAAGAACTTTTTGTTCTCTTTCTCTTCTCTCCTCTCCCCTCCCTTCTCTTCTCTTTCTTTTCCAGAAATGTACCTCGGGACTGTGCATTTGCAGGTGCTTGTGCTGCTGAGCTATATCTCTGGCCCCTCCTTTCTTTTTTTTTTTTGCACAACACTCATATCTAAGCCATTCCCCTCTTCATGAATTAATAAAACCGCAGCCTGGCCCTAGGTTGAGACCTTTGCTTCAGTTAGCTATCTTACTAGCTGGGCTCAGGACCCCCTTGGCTCCCCACTACAAATGTCTTAGTGTTGTTACGGTTTGTGTCTAGTTGTCCCCCAAAGCCTCATGTGGTCCTGGGGCACATGCTTCTAGAGGCTGTGATTACATCATGACCCAAGGCTGCGGTTATGGGTGTGAGCGCTACACCTGCCCTGGGACAGACAGCCTGAATGCAACAGACGGGAGGGAGGGAGGTTTGCACGCCGCTGCCGCTGCTCCTGTCTTTTTCCTCTTGCTGTTTCGCTGTTTTTCCACCGCTGTAAACTGTTGTCTTCTGCCATGTGCCATTTTGCCTTGGGGCCAGCTGAGTATGGACTGAAACCTCCACAAGCTCTGAGCTAAATATATCTTTGCTTCCTTAATTTTGGATGCTGAGTATTTTGTCCCAGCAGTGAGAGAAAAGTAACCAAGATATGTCTTTTTCTCACCGTCAGTTGTACTGGAGTGGTAAATTGGAATTAACTTGGTAGAACTCCAACAAGTGTTCCACGGGATCACTAATATAAACCTCCTGGACCATGATAAGGACTGGGAAGGGCTTTCTATACCCTCAAATTTAAAGGCCCAGTCCAAAAAGGAGAATTTGAAATGAACAGACATTTCGCACATGAAGAAGTACAATCAGCAAATAAATAGATGAAAAAATGTTCAACATCACTGGCCAGTTGAGAAATGCAAATTAAAACAACAATGGAGCCTGCTTCCTGGTACAAAACAAACAAACAAACAAAAACCCTGAGATTCCATTTCACTCCAGAAAGAATGGCCATCGTCAAACAATCACAAACTGCTGAGACTGTGAAAAGAAAGGAAGCTTTGGGCTGAGGAGCCAGCTCAGCAGCATAAGTGTCTACCTGCCAAGCGCAAGGTCCTGAGTCCAATCCCTGGGACCAAAAAAGAAAAATAAGATTTTCGAAAAGGGACTGTTCTTCACTACTGATAGGCGTGTACACTGGTACAACCACTAGCTAGGGAAATCAGCATGGAGGTTCCTCAAAAGACTCAACTAAAAAAAAAAAAAACCCTAAAAAACCCCCTGCAACTGGAAGTTCTATTTGACCCAGCTATTTCTCTTCTAAGTATCTTCCCAAAGGGTTAAGAACATCATACCAGTCATATATGCACACCCATGTTTACAGCAGTACTATTTGTAGCAGCTGAATCTTGTAAGCAGCCCAGATGCCCATCAGCTGATGGACACATGTGATTTTATATACAATAAGCCGGCCCATTACCATAGAGGGCACCCTTAAGCCATTTCTAGGTAAATGGATGTACCTTGAGAATACAGTTTTAAATGAAATGAATCAGACACAATCTGAATATCATAGTTTCTCTTATGTGAGAAACTCAAAGGGCAAGTGAGGACCCATATGGAGGACAGATAATGGGATGCAGGAAGAAAACTTTGAGATGGGAAGGGGAACACGTGAGGGGGAAGAGAGACTCCATTTTCTTTTGTAACTCCATCGTAAGTCACTAAAGTTCACTTAAACTGTAAATAAACTCACTCCCTCATCCTCTCCCATGCAGTTAACCATAAACCTACTAAGAGAAAAATAAGGTCAGCAAGATAAGAACAAATAGTTAAAGCAAGTTGGGAAGTAGTAACGAATGTTAAACCACAATGTCCCATGACCTGCAGATGGTCAACAGTGTCTGGGAAATCTAAACCTAGTGACAGTTGTGTGGCATTCTTATAAAATTCCTGAGAATGAGATAATAGGGTGATGTGTTTGTGATGGAAACTTAACAAGTATGTAATTTGGCAGTAAAGACCAAACTGACAGCTTGTTTT